GTGTGTGTTTGTCTTTTATATATATATAGCTTCTTTATTGACAGGATTGGCACTCCAGCCATTGAAAACAACTCACACTAGTCCACATCACCCACTGCATGGCTGCACTCAGGCTCTCATCCCTGAGGTGGTTCGTGGTGTGGGGGGTGCAGCAGTGCACTGTACCTCTACACCTCTCTTTATTGACGCTTACTTCAAATCCCAAACGTGCCCTCAATGACTTAAAAATCATTCTTTCATATAGCACTCAATGGACCCTGAATACATCTAACCTGAATAGGTAATGTGGAGTTCAGTGTTTGATCGTGTTAAATAAAGGGAGCAGCTTCCTGTACTCACTGATTTTTGGCCCCTGAGAAGCATATTGGGTCCCCAACGCAGATCAATCCAATCGTGATCCATATTTTTTAGGGCCCCTGTCACTCTGGGGCAGTGGTGGAGGAAGTACTCATACAATTTACATAAGTAAAAGTACAAATAAACGAGCAATGTACTGTAGTAACAGTACCCAACTGGCCTTTCTACTTATGTAAAAGTAAGTACTTGCCTGTACATATACTTACAGTATTAAAGGAAATGTAATTGAATGTAGTCTCTGATTCAACAGAATAATATGGCATTGTGTGTCTATTGGACATATATTTTGTTATACAAATGTTCAGGCATGATAGTGTTGTGTTTCCAAACATGAAATGCTTATTTATATTAACAGCTTCAAAAATACTATGTTCCATTGTTAACTGAATTTAGCAGCGATACACCAATGGTTAAAAATGAGCCATTTACTGTCGACAGTTCCCTTTAAAATGGTGACCCGTATTACTTTGCACACTCGCGTACTAAACAGCTAGAAAAAATAATTCCACGCAGCAGACATTTAACATCATTGGAAATGCATCTTGCGAACATTGCTTTCCTAAAATTTCACAAGGACGATCTACTAATAAACATCTCAACACAATAAATTAGATTGCTCACCTTACGGCGAGACGGCGAAGAGTATGAAGTGTTTCTGAAAAACCAATCAGTTCTAATAAAGACTGCTGCAGTGCTGACGAATGACGCTATTCCATCAGTAACGCAAGTGTTTCATGGCAAAAGAATTCGGTACAGATGTGCAAAATCAAAAGATATTACTCAGAAAATTTCGGAGTTTATCACATTTGGTGATCAGCCCTTTCTGTTATAAATATTAACATACAAAATGTATGCAGTTAGTGCTTTGGGAACGTTGGTGTTTCCAAAAAATATACATTTCAAAAATATGGAAAAGTCCATTTTTAAATTTATCTGGGTGTAGTGTCCCTTTAAACTTATTTAAGCAGAACCTCGCAAACAATCGGTATCAGTGCCAGTTGTCGAAATAATCAGCTATCGGTATCGGCCAGAAATTTCCTTAACCAGCGAAAATGATTAATGCTGATAAGCACGTCTAAGCTGAGCACATGCACTCAGCCACACAGTTTAACAATAGTTGTAGCACTAATGCATGTGTGTAGTCACATGAAGGACGCTTTGTGTTCTCCTACACGGGATAGATGCAGACAGGATGATGGGCTGAATAGCTCCACAGGCTCGGTGTCCCATCACTACCATCCCCTGTCGTCATCTGTTTTTAAAAAAAAAAAAAAGCACACAGCAATGTGATTGTATGCAATCAGACTCAGAGTCAGGTTTATTGGCCAAGTGTGTGTGTGGCACACACAAGGAATTTATTTCTGGCAGTTGGTGTCTCTTCGGTACATTACAATACAATAGAAAACTGTAACATATCACCAAGTAGAAATGGAGCAGAGTAAAAGTCAAGTGACCAGAGCAAGGCCATAATTATGTTGGCGGAGGCAACATTTACGGTCTTGGTCCCCGCAATGTTGACTCCATGGCTACAGCCTTGGTCCAGAGCTAAATACTTAAGTAAAGTAGAGATATATGGAACAAGTACTTAACTACAGTAATGAAGCAGTTGTACTCCATTACTTTGTACCACTGCTCAGGGGCAACTAGAATAATCCGAACTTCCCCCTCCTCTTCGGTGCCCCTCAGGGCAACTATTACATGGTACAGAATCGAAACACTGAAATTGAGGCAGCAGGTGGCGTAGTGGTTAAGGACATGGACTGATCTTATTTCAGGTCCTAAGAAAAACTCTACTTGAGAATGTGAAATAGTTTAGTTGTATGCTGCTGTACATGTGGAGTATGTGCTAGAGTTGTGTTGCATTTTTATTTTTTTTTCCTTCTAAATTGGATGACTGCAGCCATTCTTATCATACGAAGGGTCAGGTAAACAAAAGGCCCTTACTGAGTAAACAGCAGAGGGCAAAGTACAGCCCTACGGCAGATGTCTCATTAAGCAACACCCGCTGGGAAGGCGTAATTAGAATGTGTTGAAGCTAGTTTTCGGGGGGAGGGGGGGGGCATTACGTAAGTCTTGTTGTGGTGTTCTATATGCACAGGGATAAGGTGACCAGTGTAAATGGGAAATAAGGAGTCAACCGATCATGACCGGACAATGGTGACGCAAAGAGAGGCCCAAATATGAGACCGGCGGGGAGTTGTGGCTGTAATCTATGGTACGCCATTTGTTGGGCATGCAATAACTAGGTAACCTGCCATAGCAACTGAACTTGAGGGCTATAAATAGGGATGTTGGTGCCAGCTGTACAGAGGTCCGTGGCAGCCTGGAGGAGTTCTGAGCAGATCAAGGTGAAGGATAGTTCATGCTTGCACACCACCCTGAAACCAGATGCACTTTTGCGTTGAAATTTTGAAATGTGATTATATTGGACATGGGAAAGTACCTGCCAGTGAATCATCTGGGGATTTTTTTTTCCCCACAAGTGGGAATTATTCTTTAACAATTAAGGCCCTAGCTTAGGATAGAAATGAATCTTAATTTGAACCTACAAACTTCTGGTCACAGGTTGTTTTTTTTTCCCCCACCATCTGCTGCTCCTGCTCTTCACTTTTGTAACTGCATCTGTATGATGTCATCTGTGTAAGTGAGAGAAGCCCAAGCCGGAATGTGTATTCATAGAGCGCTGTGGGCGTGCAGCGTAGCGGCACACATGCTTATGACAATGTGACTGCTAGCTGAGGCAGAAAACGCGCTCTCCAAAACGTCGACAAAAGTAGTCAGCACTGAGCCATTCACATATCTGGGCTGCGGTTCTGCTTGCAGAGCCCAAGCGTAGGCAAATTCCAAACAAACGCGCTCAGCCTATTTACATTGTTACAGGTTGGTTTAATTTTTTTAAAGCCTTTGCTGAATAGTGCTTTTTTTGGCTCGTCTCTGGCAGAAAGGCTTCTTGAACAACAGCGATGGTGTGGGCTGTCAACAGTTTGGAAGAGCCAGCTGGGAAAAAAAATATTTTTGGTGTGAGATAAGAACATTATGGAACCCAGGGGGAAATTCTGGAAGTCCTAGTTCATATGGTAGCACAACAGTTCTTGTAGATAAAACCACCCTTTTCACAAAAACAGTGCAGTAAATCATCTGAACTGTGTTACAGGTGGATATATAGTATAAATAGTCGTGAAGGTTCAGAGGGAAGCCAGTTGAATTTTGAAGATGGAGCAACTTGCAATTTAAGAGCCACTAAGTGTGTACGTGTCAGAAATGTCAGGTGTGTGAGGCACAGGTATGCTGGTGCCTAGAAGGCTCTGTGACCGGCCCGCACCTCAGTCTACCTCGGCTGCTCTCTCTGCAGCCTTGCATGGTTGCCAAGGTGACCAGCACCCTTCCTTTGAGAGGTCATGGAGCCTGGAGCAGGCAAAGGGGCTATGACTCCGCGGCGAGGCCGCATAGTGAGCTGTCCGCCGCCCTGCCGGCCTTGTTAAATTTGGATGCAGTGCAATGTTATGGGGTTCCGTTTCAAATATCCCACGCTTACTTGTTTTTTTAGTATCTTGTGTAACTGTGCAGTGAGAAGGCCTGATCAAAATTCACACATGAAAATGTGAATGACAACTGTGCGTAAACATATATTTTAATATCAGGAATATAATTTAATACAGGTACATTGTTATAAATAGTATTTGGAAAATACTCCAATTTTGTGTTTTTTTTTTTTTTTTTAACTGTACTTTATGTGAAGGATTAAGAATGCAGATGACCACAGTCCATTTATCAATACCTTACAGGGATTTTTTAAAACCCTTTCCCCATTGTTGCCCATTGTTGGTGGCTGTCTCACTGTCCAGAGTAGATTTAAGAGAACTGCCTTTGAAAATGCAAGGGCACAGGCCCCTCATCTCATGACCCTAGGACGTTATGGCAGTAATCACACCACTTCTAGTTTACTGTAAAGGAACTGCTAGTGTTTCCTGGGCCAGTTCTCAGAATTCCTCTTAAAGTAAAGGTGAAGGTACAGGGCTGCCAACTTTGATCATTTACATGCATGTAACTGTTTTATTACCTTGTAAATAGTCTGTAGGGTCACGCGAGATGCGTGAGTGCTATGAACCCTGTAACTGACAGAGGATTGATATACTCAGCATGATGCAACCCCAAGAGGAGATGTGAATATGAAGCTACATATTAAATAGTGTGTATATTAAAATCTACACAATGTTATACAATATATAATGTTCTACAAGTGATTTGCGTACGCTCATTCACAAAAATAACCCTGAAAAGCACAGTACTCCCAGGCCGCCATTTTGGATCTAAGCGTCGGTAGGCACAGGAAGTGGTCGGCTGCGCGAGCGCGTTCTCTTCCTGTGCCACACGGCGCGTCCATAACGGAGAGGAGGGGGAGCAGGAGGAGGGAGGTCAGCCAGTGAACAAAATGGCGGCTGCGTCAATTACTGCCCCTTCGCCTCAACCGCTGCACAAACACGCAGCCGTCGGCGTCTCTCCATAGCCTTACGAGCCCAATCTCCAGCTCCACGCCGCGTGCACTTTAAATAGGCGCAGGTGAGCGGCCGCCTCTTATCGCGCGACGCGGGTAAAAACGCATCCCGCCTCGAAGCGGCGATCCGACCGGGTTTGTTGTTTGTTGGTTTATCTTGCGTAGTTTGGTAACCAGCCGAACTGTGGCGTTTCTGGCTCAGTCGGCGCTCCGCCCCAGCTTATTTCTGCTAATGTGGCGCTGAACAGTAAACTTACTGCCCGCAGTGCGCAGCGCCATTTGTTCCGTAGTCTGCGCTTGTTTTCCCCCTTTGCTCTCTTGGTTAGCCGCTTAACCAGTGCAGTTAGCTTCACCCGACCGGCGGCTACGTCGTCGCAACTTTCGTTTGCCGCGTCGTCGATTATGCTATGCTAAGCTAGCAAACTCTCCAAATACATGAATCGGGTGCATCTTTCGCTAAATTATGCGAGTGTTTTGGAGGAATGTGGGGAAGAATTGTCACCACATCGGGTGAGTGAGATGGGGTTTTGCGTTTAATAGTCGTCAGTTTCGTGTGTTTCGGGGTGTTGGCTAAAAAATTGTGCTAGCGGTCGCTTTATCCGGCTGCGTAGTACGTCCTGGCACGCATTCCCTGTGTGTAAACCGGCAAGTTAAAGTAAAAAAAAAAATAATCAGCAGTCCAAAACTTTATTGCATTTTGACATGTTTTTGTAGTTCGAGTGTGCTTTGGTTGCGCGTTTTATTTTGATGAGTGCTCCGTGAAGGATGCATATTCGTTAAGTCGGAAAATCAGTGGGGCTGTTTGTAAATAGGTTAATAAACTGTTAAAAACAAACCAGGCAGAGCAGCCCCCAGTCGAGCTGCTCCGGGGAGGCTGTTAGCTCTCTCCCCTTGTTTACATATCGGTAATGTATTAATGCATGCCCACGGGCTATGGCGATCGGTTGTCTCCAAATATTTGTTTTTGTCCATCTTTTTTGTCTGCAGTGGAAATGCCTCGTCCTCTGCCTGTTGTATTTCTGAAACTTATCAACATAGCATTTTTGGCCTCGATTAAAAATGCCACGCCATACATATTGACATCTACCTCAGAACCGGGAGCTATTAGCACCCGGTGAAGCTCGATTGTGATGGTTTTTTTACATTATGTTTTTGCTGATGACCTTGACGTATCCTCCCCAGTTCAGGCCGATTTCTCTAGTAAAATTCCTCTAAAGTGATTTATTCACTAATGCAAAATTCTTATGTGTTCACTACAAGTTCTAATTTTATTTTTGACAGCCTTTGATGCCACAATTTTCTGTTCTGCTTTTGAACAACTACAAAGAATTTAATTTCTCTTTATACAGAGTTGGATGCTATAATCACCAAAGAAGTTGAAGAGAAGCTAGACAGGTCAGTGCTGTGTTCCTCTGATCGCTGCTGTTGTGTTTTTAAAAACGCTTGGGGTGTTGGATTAGTCTGACCCTTCTTGTGCCCCTCTGACCTTTCCCTCGTCTGTTTAGAGGGTCCTCAGAGACAGCCGCCCAACGGCAGGTCACAGCAGCTGTTGCTGGCATCAGCCCGTGCCGTTCTGCTTGAATTATCGGTCTCTGAACCGCATAGTCAGCTGCGGTGTTCTGGATGCTGGATGAAAACCGCAGGCATCACTCTCCCCTGTTGTAGAAATGCAGCACACATAACAGGGGGCTGGAGATGGGGGGGGGAAAGGTCTCGGATCTCTCCTGGCCCCTTTGGTTCCAGTGAAAACTGAAAATTTACACCTGATAGCGGCAACTTTTGGCTGGCAGAATAAAGCCTTTGATCTGTGAATGCTGCCATTTCTCAGGAGCTGTGTAGGTGGGGATTGCAGACCATGTCCCACTGCACTATTATCTGACCAAACTGTAGCAACCCTGATCTCAGTTTTTCAGATTTAGAGAATGGGGCTGAATTCCAGAAAGTGTGGCGTGGCTGCACTTCTGTGGAATGTAGTGTTTGGTTTTTGTCATGGTGTAGGTGTAGTTTTGAGTCATTTCCCTGCATTGTTATGATCGCTGGCCTCTGACCAAGGACCAGGCTTCATAAATAATCTGAATTATGTTTTCTGGTTTGTGTGGCGCTCTTCCTGAGAGGTAGATTGCAATGTTCTCTTTCCCATTTATCGATGGTCGCTCTCTGTTCACTTTGCCATGAAGATGTAATTGAGTGAAGCTTGGTTTCCATCTTAGAGCTTGAAGCAGAATGCATGACAATTGCTTGGGATGTGGGCTGATCCAGTATGGAACATAGTGATGAGCGCTTGATCAACTTTGAGTATGATCCTCATTGTCACCGTGAAAAGCTGCTGCTTTGTTAGCCTTCCATTGAATATAACCCTAGTTGGTAGCCTTCCATTAAGACAGCAAATCAGAATCAGAAAAACTTTATTTATCCCGGAGGAAATTGCTCATGTTACTACAAATGGTCACACATAGACACAGGTCAAGAACATAAAAGAAAAGAATATCAGATGTAAGTATAAGAACTAAAAATAGTTATAAGAGACTCTGCGCTATATACACCATGATATATACATGATATATCTAACATGTTAGTTTTCCTTGTAACTTCATGTGTAGGTGAGTGTCTTGTAGCTGTGACTTATCTGGTAGCTTTAGGGGTCGAATCATGTCGTTCATTGGTATGATGCTGAAAGATGTGGTTTTGTACCGCAAGTGTTGCGATATCTCCCTACAGGGGGCTTTTGACCTTGACCTAGCTACACTAAAATATTGTGTTTGAACAAGTAAAAATTAGATGTGAATGCATCATTGAAACCTTTCAGCCTGACATTATGTATTTGCATCTTTAAGGTTCTTGTATATGCATGATTAAGGCAAACCTAGTATGAAGGTTAGTGCGTATGATTCTGCTGTGGAGAACCACACATTATGTATTGGAGTGCCTCTGGTTTGGGGAGCTCTGGCTGCTCACCTTGGGCCATGCTGATTGGCCGTCAGTCATAAACAAGAGCCTGCTGTCAAGGCAGCCATCTGGTTTAATGTGTCTGAGCAACTGCAGGGGGGGCGGTGGGATTCTCTGCCTGGAGATGTTGCACCGTGTGAGCCCCCCCACACACACACACACGCACGCACTCTGGTTTCAGGTTTCTTTTCCCAGTCAGTCATTAATAGCAACTTCACTGTCAGTTTAGTGGGTCTAGTAAACCTTTTAAAGAAGCTTACCTTGTTACCTTGGCCTCTCCTGCAGTAGAACGTTTTGCATGTATGGGGAGATCCGTACATGCATAACCTGGGGAATACTGACGTTCCTGGGTAGTTTTTATTCAATGGATTCAATGGACAAAAGAATGACTTCCTCCATGTTATGGCCCATGGTTCCTTTAAATGGCGGCTTGCTCAAGTGTGTCACAGTGCTTGTGTTGAGTTCCTGAACGGCTGCCCAACTTGTGGTTGACATCTCAGGCTTCCTGTGGCATCTGCTTACTTCTAACTCCCCTTGAACCTGGTGTCATTAAGCTGGCTGAAGCTGCATCTTGCATTAAATGCATCATGTCCTTTTAGTCCCGTATATATGACTGCGTTCACATTACAAGCTTCATTGTTTAATTCTCATTTTCTTTGCTTGGGTCGGATTTACCTCTCTTGACAGTTCACATTCATAATTACAAGTGACCTGTATCTAACGGTAATGTGAAAGCATCTGTCCTCAAGCAGCATGCATGTGCATATTTTGCACGAGTCATCCACATCATCAACAAACGTCATATTTATGGGACAACTCAGGCTATTAAAATTGACGAAATGGACACGCTTTCCCATTTCTTTGCCAATACTTTTGATAGCTTCTCGATTTCAGTATGTTCGTTCCAGTTTGGCTTGAGCTGGTTAATTTCCCTGAATATCTAGTGAATCGCCAGCTTCCCCATCCTTCCGCTTACTGTTGTCACGGCTGTAGCTCTCCTCTATTGTTCTTACCTCGGTGCTGGTGCTGGCTGATGACGATAGTGCTGAGTGTGTGTGTTTGTGTGTGTGTATGCGTGTATAATATATCTCAATCAAAAAACTCTGACCCTTCCTATTCTATTCGCATGACCACAAAATCAGTTGTGTATCCGATCTAGGACCACAAATGAAAGTGACTCTAATCTGATTTGAAAAGGTCGGATTTCTGTGTCCTCAGCCCCGAAGACATCAGACCCGTGTCACTTTAAGGCAAAAAAAATCCGATTTGAGTCACTTCATCCTGGTAACGTGAATAAAGCAAGCAAAGACCCCAAACCCACTATGGTTGGTCGCCTCGCTGCAGCTTCCCACTGCTGTCTGCTTAAAGTACAGCCCTTACAGCTGTAGAACTGGTCAGGGCTGTGGAGTCGGTAGATAAATGCTCCGACTCCGACTCCTCAGTTTCTAAATCTTCCGACTCCGACTCCCCGACTCCTCTGTATGTATATACTATGCTAATGTATTTTCTACATCCATTGAAGGAAAGGAAGGCAACATACATGTCATTTCACCACAGAACTACTGGCTAGGAAGCCAACACTCTACTATAATGCCAGATTAAAGACAAACACAATGAAAACAAGGTTTCAAGGGTAGCGCATAGCGAAGGGGAGCCGACGGAGCTGAGAACACACCAGATGATTTTTCAGGCGTTTGACGCGTGATGACTCGTTGAACGGCCGAAAAATCGGCAGTGCATCTGTAAATGTATGGGGGGCTTTAGGCTAGGTTCACAGTTCCCTGTAACAGTGGAACACGACACAATGGAAAGCGGTGCCGCACCTTACCTGTGCATTACATCCCATATAGTGACGCATACAGTCAATGAAAAGCATGCTTCATGGTTACTTGACATGTTCGTTTTGTGGTAACATTATGCACTGCATGCATTGGGCTTTATTCTTACAGCAGAGAAGTAGTTCATTATGACTGTTTGTGAATTGGGACATTTCAACTTACTTTTTTAATTCCCATTTAAATTTAGTAGGAGTCGGAGTCGGTTAACTTTTTGCCGACTCCGACTCCAGGTACCCAAAATTGTCTCCGACTCCTCGACTCCGACTCCACAGCCCTGGAACTGGTGACCACTTCCTATGGTGATTTTTGTTAATGTTTAGTCCAGAAGTGTTGGTGTAGGAAAACCTGCTTAAGCTAATGCGGCTTCTCAATTTTGAGTGCAGACCGGCAGTATTAACCTAAAGTTTTATCATTCTTGCTGAGGACCTGTTAAGAACCTAATTAATACCTAATGAATATTGATGAGGCCGGCCAGGACCGCAGTGACAATATGTGGAAGTTGGTCAAAACATTGATTTTTATTATACAGGTTTTAAGACCAGCTGGTAAGAGATGCATGGGGACCAGCATTGTGTGTGATTTGTGTCTAGTTGATGCCTCTGCAGGTCCTTTGGTATCCCCTGTCAGCTTTGGCATGGAGGGTTAGCAGCTCGTGTTCCTTCAGGAATGTTGGCACTGACATGGGACAGATGCACCCAGTAATATGTCAGTGCGTCACTGCACATAAAGGTAGTGTGTTGGGCCTTGAGTTTAAGCAAGGAACAGGTATGTTACATCTTGTGTAAAACCTGCTTTATGGAAGTTTGGGGTCCTTAAGGGACGGTGTTTGGATTACTGGTCACTGTGTGCACTGGTTTGGACTTTAGCAAGGATATTTGTTGTAATGGTGGATATCACTGTCACACTGCTAAACACCTACAGCATTGCAACTGCACTTTATGTACACTCTATGGTATATATTTCTCTAATGTTTATTTTCTGTATATAAGATTTAGATTGCTTATTATATTGTATTCATTTATACACTTTGTGTGTGTGTGTGTGTGTGTGTGTGTGTTTGTATATATGAATAGTATAAACATATTATATGTACAAATAACTTGTATAAATTTTTTAAACATTTACCTTTATATTTATAAATATAAATCCATATTACATATTCATATTGTAAATTGTACATTACTGTATATTACATTGCTCAATATATTGTTCATTGTGACTTTACATATTGTTGTGCTTGAGACGCCATTGACCGGAACCAAATTCCTTTGTATATGTTCGCTCACGTACTTGGCCAATAAACGCAATTCTGATTCTGATATCACCGTTTCCCTCTAGTTGCTGTTTATTGTTGTAATTCAGCAGTATCACCTGATTATGGAAATCTTTCTTCCATTTGCTAATTGTCTTGACTAAAGGTGATGTTGTGGCAATGGACTGGAGCGGCAGGTGTAGGTTCATGAAAATGAGGCCTGTTTGCTGAGCTAATAGTGGTTTTCCTGTTCAGGAACCCTGCACAAGAGGAGGACATACTGTTGATGGAAGCAGGGAGGACGAAACCGACACAGAGAGAAAAGAAGCTGGTTTGAAGGTAAGAAGTGAAGGTACTGGGTTTTGTAGTCCTTCCTGCTAATCATGGAGGATTTGAAGGATCTCACTGAAGATTTTTTTATCTGCCCGTGGATGGGGTCTAGCGAGGATGGTGTGTTATTCTCTACTGTGTTAAAATGCTAGTGTCATTCTTCGCAGTTCCTCTATTGCAGAGACGCAAGGCCTGAATTAAGGGTCAGGATATGTGGTGCGTGTGCTGTGCTTGAGAATAAATCTCAGTGTCAGTCACTGCTTGATCCTTCACTCGTTTCAGTGACAGCTGGTTTGGCGTTTGTCTTCATGCCCCGTGTTGTATCTTGTGTGCGCTCAGGCTTCAGCCTCTTCCACTGTTAGCAGACGTTTGTCTCGGGGTGCTCTGCTCTGGTGTGTTGACCGGAGAGCCCATGAAAAACACAGGGTGTCTGATTCCATGGTAGCTTCCATCTTAACAGTGAGTTGTTCGGCGTACACAAAGCTGCATCTTTGCATCTCTTCACCGAGAGTGAAGGTGGGTGCTCACGCTTACAGCTGGTACCGGGCTGCTATATGGGGAGGCAGGATCCTGACTAAATCCGTCTTGATTGACTTGAATGTTACGGTCACATTATTTTTTATAAAAGCAGTTGACTTTCAAAATGTGCCACTCCCTCCCGTGGCTGGTTGCTTGTTGAGCATGATGTCCAGTGCAATCTGCTGTTCTTGATATACAGAAGACTAACTGGCCATAGTTGTACTTATTTGCTGCTGGTCTCCGCATACAACCAGATAAGCCAGCGTGACAGTCTGCTGCCATGAGCCGAGACTACAGATTTACTAAATGAAGGAATTAAGCAGCCGCTGCCATAGGTGGCCGTTTCAGTTCCGCTCCCTAAACCATCCACGCCGCAAGCTGGAAAGCATCCTGAGCTCGAACGGGGAGCGCTTTCTCAGGAAACTGTCAGAGCAGCGTCTGATCTCGGCACAGAGGCCCGAGTGTGTTTACCGCATCGTGCGGCTGCTGCTTGGCGACGGTGGCTGCCTGGGGCTGTGCAGTGCCGAGGGGAGTCGGTTGTTGATGAGGGTTCTGTGTGCAAAATGCGCAACACAGATCGCTGGCAACATGGCATGGCTACCTCCCAGCCTGAGATTTACTGGAACAGCAAAGCTCATTCGGTCATTTATTTTTAAGGGTCCCTGAAGGGTTTTCGTTTCGGGCCATGCCGTGGGGCGGGGAAGCCCCCCCTGGGACTTTGGGAAGGAACGTCACCCCGAGTTGTCCACTGATGTTTTTGGGTGGCTTTCTGCTGAGCTGATGCTTGAACGACGATGTCACTTCATGTGCGTGCTTGTGCATTCCTGTGTATGTCTGTTTGCACCTGACCTCGTCTGTCTTGGTCTTGCTGGTCATTCAGGGTTTTCACCATTAATTGCAGACGTGCATGAACAAGTCAGTCGAGGAGTGCTCTGTGTCCTTTTGCATGAAATGACGATGAGGTCACCCTGCTGCAGCTGTAGTCGTGAGCCCCGCCTCAAGGAGTTTAAACATTCTGAGGTTGCTGCTCGCCCCCCCATAGTAATTGTTAAGTAGCAGTTTTTGAGCTGTGCAGTAGCATGATGGCAATGCTTCCTGTCACTTGTCATCTTGTCATCCTGCAGTCAGCAGGCCTGTCATGCTCAAACAGGAAGTGGCTAATGGCACCCCCCCCCTCCCCATTCGTTGTTCCTAGCCCCCGCGAAAGTCCTGCACTCAGACTGCCCTCAGCAACAAGACAGTTTGTCTGTCTAGCTCCAGTACCGTTTTTTTTCCCCTCTGCTTTTTCCTCCTTTTTGTGTCACTTGAATCCCCCCCCCCCCCAGACACTGCAGGAGCTGGCAGGGGTTTGCTTGCTCGGAAAGACAACGCCGTCTCTCTCTATTTTGTGTGTCTGAGGTGATGTGGCTATGGAGAATGCCCTCGTTGCATGGCCCTCAGCATAAAATCAAAGGGGGCGCTATTCACCTCTTGCTTCCCCCACCCCGGCCCCCCTTTTTGCAGCTGTTTCTTCTTGCATGTCACTATGGGGCTGGCAGTCTTCACCGGCACTATGAAGAGAAGCTGTGGTGCATGCTGGGAAGGTGGGAAGTGGGGCTGATTAACTAGTCTTGAGCTCATTGGCTGGGCCTCCGATGTTTGTATTTAATGTGCCCAGAGGCTCTCACACAAACGAGTGTCACGTTTTGTTTTTTGGCTTCGGCACCGGGCTGCTTTTCCTGTGTCCGGCTCGGCCCGAGGTGGCATGCGATTCGTGAAATGGGCCGTGATGCATCCTGCCAACTCACTCTTGCACAAATGGCGACTTTACTCTCCTCGTAGCTGTGAGCTGCTGCCATGATCCATGCGAAGTCTTATGCTTTATTACTTTGACCCATTCTGTGTGTTTCCTGGGGCGGTTTAGGTTAAGCTCTTTGCTCACTGGTGTGCCAGCAAACCTGCTCCTGGGGCCTGACCTGGTGCTGTCGGCCCTGCAGATGCTCCTATTATTGTTCATCTCATGATTTTTTATTTATTTATTTATTTATTTGCAGTGCCATCTAACGGGTCCATTGCGACTGTCACCCAGTTCTCCTGCCTGCACAGCGGCTCCCTCCTTGCGACTAGCGCCGCCAGCGATGCCAAGCGTGCCCCGCCCGGCTTTCCGCCGTGTCTCTGTCATCGCCGCCGCCGTGAACGGGGACAGCTGCTGAACACGGATAGCCTGTCCTGCCAGACTCGCCGGTGCCCTGGCAACCCGGGCACGGCTCTCTTCTGGTCAGTTGGGGGGCGTACCTCCGGCCACCGAGGTCCCTGACCCCACCCTCTCAAAGAACCTCCTGGACACAGGTATCAGTTTGCCCTGAGCCCTGCTATTCCCTAAATCAGGGAAGATGGTTTTTAGGAAATGCTGAATCTTCATTTGGCTTTATTGTGATGTCATTGCTCATCCTGCTTGTATAGAATTTGAATGGTTTCTCAGGTCCGTGACGGCCTTCTTGACTTTTGTACTTCTCATTCTTTTTTGCCTTCTTCCTAGGCATGGCACCTATCCGAGACTCAGTGAGCCACTCCCCAAACCAGACAGGTGAACTATTATTTTCTGTTTGCCTGTGTACCAGGGCCCCCCTCCCTCGCTTAGCTTTTCTTGAAATATCAGCATCTCTATAAGTACAGGTTTTTTTTTTTCCCTCTTGAAGTTCAGATGGTGGCCAGGTGTTGGCTAGTTGCTTAGGTAGCCTCCTGTCAGCCAGAGGCATCTTGCCGTATCTGGCAGTGCCTGCTGTTCCCTTCTAAAATTTAAGGCTGGCATGAGCACTGGAAGAACTTGACAAAAATAAGACCACAGGAGTGATATGTAATAGGTTTTAGCAGTTGTTCTTTCCTCGAGCAGATTTACTTTTGGTACAGGAGAGGTGAAAAGTGACAATGAAACCCACTGATGTCCCTATGATCGTCTATGCTTGTACTGTTGTGTCTGACTTTTGCCCGCTTTGCCTTAACCTTGATGATTGCCCCCTGCCTCTCTTCCCCCAGATGTGACTCACAGCAGCCTGGGCACCCAGTATGAGAATCACCTGTGGAACTCTGGCTCCCCAGGAAGCGATTCTGACGTCCCCTGGGGCGGTGGCGTCATCGTAGGCGGGTGTGACAGAGAGGTCTGGCCCTCGATCCACAGCGGCAACACAGATCTAGCCTCGGAGTGTGTTGATGGCGACTCCGCCTCCAGCTCGGGCTCAGAGAAGAATCTCCGGGCGACTGTTGCCAAGGGCAATGGCAGCGATGGAAAACAGGCCCACGGGCCCGGCTCTCATTTCACAGTGGCAAATGGCAGCGACTATGCTGGCAATGGAGGCCTGGGGGGAACTTGGGGTGTGACACACAGCCCTGCCGTGGGTGTGTGCGAGGGCCCTGTGGAGGCCTTAGCCAGCGAAGGCGCTCTGAACGCAAACGCCTCCTGGTCAATCTCGCAGAGTGCTGGGCTGATGGGTGCCACACAAGCAGACCCCTCAGTCTGGGGGGGGGTGCTCCAGGAAGACTGCTCTGAGCCTGCAGCCACTGGTGCCACTGGTGGGCAAACTCAAAACCTTAACACTGAAAAAAACGGACCAAACAACACTACTAACGGCGTGACCTCCAGTTTACCAAACTCTACTGGTTCGTTGGAAATGGACGAACCCTCCACGTGGCACACGGGTGCCGGGGTCGACTCCGCCCAATTCCGGACCTCCTCCATTGTCCCCGGAAACAGCAAGGGAGGAAACGGCGGATCTCATGCTGTAGTGTGGGCAGCGCAGACAGGCACTACCTACTCGAGTGACAAATCTTCTGTCCTGGAAGACCCAGCTGCGTCTGACACTGTGAATGCGAGCCTGGCTCACCCCGCAGCTCACGGTGCTGCCTCCTTTGGTAATTGTGACGACGACAGCGATTCCAGGGCTCAGAATGGAGCGTGGGACTCTGGCCCCAGGGCCTCACAGACCATGACCTGGAGCACTGGTGGCAGCGTTGGGCCTGCAACAGCCCCTCGTCCCTGGGAGAGTACATCCTCCTCTTCCTCATCTTCGTCTTCCTCGTCCAACGCTGGAGCCAGGGTCTCGAACGGGGAATGGACATCCATGCCCGGTGGTAGACAGCGGCACCACACCGACAGTGCAGACAAGAAGGGAACAGGCGGCTGGAAGTCCCTTGAGGATGACGCCCTCGGTGCCGTGGGGCAGCAGGGTCACGGCACCTGGTCCCGACCAGCAGGGGGCAGCGAAGGCAGTGCTGACAGTAGCACTGGCAGCCATGGGGACCGAGAAAAGGATGCTCATCATGGCAACGGTCGCAAAAAAACAAACCACACTTCAGGGTTGGTGCAGAATATGATGTCACAGGCTGACATTGATCCCCGGGTCCTGTCTAACAATGGCTGGGGTCAAACACCAGTCCAGCAGAACACCACCTGGGATACGGCCATCACCTCTAACAAAAAGCCAGATGCTGGCACGGGGAGCTGGGGGGCTGCCCCCACCCCTAGCAGCAGCAGCTCGACAGCCACAACTAGATGGGAGGATCTGAAATCTGCCTCGGGATGGGGGGGTGCCAAAGGTCTGAGTGGACAGGACAGTTGGGAAGATGGTTCAGCCAGAAATGGCCAGTCATCAGGCTTGAGCAAGGAGGACAAGTCTTGGTGTGGTACTCAGAAGATGAAGCAAGGCTGGTCATCTGGACCCGAGGGGTGGGGTGGGGAGAGCTCTCAGATGAATCACTGGGTGGAGCCCCAGAAATCAGGATCTGGCAGCTGGGACAGCGACAGTGACCGTTCAGGCTCTGGATGGAGTGAGTCGGGCCATCGCAGCAATCGATCAGGCAGTGCCCACTTCAAGAACGATGGTCCAACAGGCTGGGGAGAGCCTTCCAAGCAAGGCGAGCAGAATCGGGGCTGGGGTGAACCCACCAAGCAAAACAACCAGAACCAGGGCTGGGGTGAACCCACCAAGCAGAACAACCAGAACCAGAGCTGGGGTGAACCCACCAAGCAGTGTGAGCAGAACCGGGGATGGGATGAACCCGCTAAACAGAACAACCAGTGCTGGGGGGAGCCCAGCAAGCAGGGCGACCCAAACCGAGGTTGGGGTGAGCCACCCAAACAGAACGACCAGAACCAGGGCTGGAGTGAGCCCCCCAAGCAGACTGACCAGGGCTGGGCTGAGTCAGGAAGCACTGGCACAATTCGACGTAAAGGTATTGAGAACAGTAAGAGAAACCAGTCCACCTCTGGCTGGGGAGGTGATTCCACCTCACATGGCTCTCCAGACTGGAACAAGATGCAGGAACCTGCGTCCGGCCCATCTGGGGCTCCTGGCAACAACAAACCCTCTGGGTGGCTTGGTGGGCCGATTCCAGCACCATCTAAGGGGGAAGGGCCAACAGGCTGGGAGGAGCCTTCCCCTGAGTCCATCCGTCGGAAGATGGCGATCGACGACGGCACTTCGGCCTGGGGTGACCCCAGCAAGTACAATTCCAGCAGCGTCAACTTGTGGAGTTCCGGTGGCGGAGGTGACACAGGGGGTGACACAGGGACTCCCACAGGGACTCCCACAACTCCACAGCAGGCCCCGGCGCCTCCCAGCTCCTTCTCTGCGAAAGACAAGACCTTCAGTTCAGGTGAGGCTCCCTCCAGAGGCTTGTGCTCAGTGGCCCTTGTCATTTAATCTTAGGCAGCTCTAATAAGGATGACCTCATTCCTCTGGAATGCTAATGCTCTGTTCAGCTGTGTCCATTCAAGGCCTCATGTGCGTTCCCCTTGTGGGAAGCACATCGTTCAGAGTTTAGCCAACAAAGGTTTGCAACCACTGTTAGTTGCAGGTGTAACCAATAACTGACTAGATTCCGAAAATATTGTTCCGGTGGCAAAATAGTACCAGCGCACAGCCACGAAGGCTGTGTTTTTAAGAGAGGTGCACCGTGAAGGGAAGGGAGGAATAAAGGCTAAAGTTTCCTCCCAGCTGACATTGCAGTCATATGCCTGCAACTCGAGCTGCAGGATACCCATGAACGGGGTTATTTTTAAAGCAGGAATTTGGAGCATGTATTGGACGGTGAAAGTGGAAAGTGGTCCTCTGTAGTGCTGAGGTGGGCAGAAGTATCAAGCATAAGCACATTTGTGCAATCAGGTTCATTTGTTGCACTTACAACTTTGAGTAGTTTGGCCTAACGTTGGTGTAGCAGTGCTGAAAGGTCGTCTTCTGCATAGCCTGTGTGCCTCTGAACCTGTAAAACGTTCTGCATGTGAATATGTGCAACATCCCAAGATGGTGGAGGATCTAATGTTACGCAATGGTGGTAGTTCATGAAGAGAGTGGTAGTGAGGCAGCCTTTAGTACTTGCGCATAGACCTTTCCTCTGCCTTTTATCTTGCTCTTCTGTTTACTTCATTTCTTTGTCATCTGTGGTAACCGTGATCTTATCTTTGTCGTAAGTTTCATGTCCTGAAAAGAGCCACTGAGAAGTTACTTTAAGCGACACTTCAGAATTATTTCCCCTTTGCAGCTCCCCCAAGTCTCTGACTTGCAGAAGGTTGAGAACATAGCTGTGTTTCAGTAGGAGTGTTGACTAGGACGTCATCTGTACATGAGTTTGTTGTAGCAAGTGTACGTCGTACCTACCGGAAATACTGTTGTCTGCAGGGTGGGGAGAGCCGTACGAAAGGACACCGAAATGTGAATCATCTTGGGCCGAGCCTCCCACTGGTCCCCCAGTCTCAGTAGACAATGGCACAGCAGCCTGGGGCAAGCCAGCGGACACTGGGTCGAGTTGGGAGGAGTCCGCTGGAGGTCCTAGCAGCAGCTGGGGGCAGCAGTCACAGCACAAATCTGGTGAGTGGGGTGGCGGATACTGGGGGCTCCTCAATGTAGGAAAACCACTTGCGTTGCCCATGAACCATAAATGAAATTGAATCTCTGTCCTGGTTATCGTAGTGCCCAAACCTATGCAAGACTGCTGGGTTGCTGAGCAGGGGCCTGCGACGAGTCACCCGGCCTGGGAGGACAAGGGCCACGTGGAGATCGGGATGTGGAACAACGCCTCCCAGGAGACTAACCAGTCTGGGAACTGGTCTTATATGAAGAAGGCCCCTCCAAAGGTATGGTGGTAGTCCCATCGATGTTGAGTAACCCTTAGGTTCGAAGCGTCTCCATCGGCCGGAAGGTAGCCCCGGTTCTGTTACGTAAAAGCCTAACGGAAGCTCTCTACAACCCCACAGTTTAACAAGGTGGCCAACAAGACAGACGACACTTGGATGAACCAGATGGCAAAGCAGTTTGGCAGCATTAATTTCCCTGTAAGTATCTGCAGGTGAAGCATCTATGAGATGAGCGGGGGTTAGGTGATTGCTAAAGAAGCAAACTCATTCTGTCTGTTTACAGAGAGACAGTCCTGAAGAAGCCCTCCCTAGCAATAAGATGGAAGTACCTGGAGGTAAGTTGTCTTTTTGGGTTTGGGTGTAATCCTCAAGTGTGCTGGGGAGGTGGTGTGTAACAGCTTTGGAGATGAGTGACCTGGGGGGTGCTTTGGAGATGAGTGACCTTTGGGTGTTTCAGGGACAATGATGGACAAGCGAGCAGATGCTACGGAGTACAGCGGCATGATGGGAAGAGGAGCTGGCTCACGACATCAAGTGAACAAGGAGCCCTCAACAGACCGCGGACCTTACTTTGACAAGGTCAGCCTGGGGTCTCACGACGGATACACCCAGCAACTTAACGTATAGCCGCTAAGCCTTTTGTGTAGTGTCTCTCATGCTTTTCCCCCCAAACCAGTCTTGTTACATGACACTGACCTAGCGACATAACCTGACATACTTATTTCTAACACTGAGTTAATTGGTCAAATTAACATTTCCTGTGTTAAACTTACTGGCTCACACCAACTGTATCTCTCCGCCTCCAGAATGTCGGGCCTGCGTTCGGGGGAGGTCATGTGATGGCACACGGCCGGAGCTCCCAGCAGCCCCCAGCACAACCCCGTGCTCAGGTGCCTTCCACGCTGCTCTCCTCTCAGGTGACCCAGCCCCCCTCCAGCTAACCTGAGTTCTGCTTGTTCTCTTTGGTCCAGCGAGTGGCCCTCTGATAGAAGCACCAGGCCAGAAAGAAGTTTAAAAAAACTGAAATTTTCTCTCTGGCGACAATTCAAGATGCTTTCAGGAGAGTAGTTTTAGTTTTGCTTTCTTGGCTAACTTGCCTCTTGTCTTGGCAGGTCCCTCCATCACTGCTGAAATACCCCCCTAGCAACGGTGGTTTAGGCCTCTTCGGACCCCAGCAGTTGGCCATGCTCAGTCAGCTCAACCAGCTCAACCAGTTGAATCAATTGAACCAACTGAACCAGCTCAACCAACTGAACCAGCTCTCCCAGTTGCAGGTACTGCTGTTGTTTTTTTTCTTTTTTCGCCCACTTAGGCTGGATTGTATTGGTAAAACCACCTTTAAATCAAGCGCAGAAGGCTTGGGTGTCAGAGCATGGCATGTCTGACCGCTGCAGTTCTGCAGCTGATGGCTTTGACCACAGCTTTGGTCTCCCCTCTTTGGCACACTGCTGCCCCCTTCTGGCCAGCTACTTATTTGGCCATATGTAAATGTTTTTAATGATTGATGAATGAAAGGCAAAAGGATTTCTTCATGGATGTCTTTGACCTTTTTTAAGGGAGCTAAGCTATTGTTATAGTTTTTCATTCTGTTCACCAGAAAGTAGGACAGGGCATTGTAGTTGTCAGTGAGGGTGTTCTTTTGGTCCTGAGTCCATGTGCTGAGTCTGGATCTGTTGCTCTTCAGCGCCTCCTCCTGCAGCAGCAGCAGCAGCAGCAGCAGCAGCAGCAGAAGAGAAACGTGCTAATGGGGAATCGGCAACAGCAAGATCCACAGGTAGGATCTTTTGATACAGAAGCAAGGTTGAACTTGCTTAAAATCAATATTGCGTGAAAAACCTGAGATCAAGTCATTTATTTGTGTAACACGTTTTAAAATTCAGGAACTGACCAAAGTGCTTTCAAGGCTAGAGGGAATTAACAAATACTCTAATACTACATGCGTAGTACAACGTATACATGAAATAACATGAGAATGTGCTTACAGGAAATAATTAAAATTAATGGTAATATAATAAGCAGATTGTGTAGAGGAAGGGTAGCCATACAGAATTTTCTGAAGTAAATTAAACCCCCCCCCCCCAACGCAGGGTCGACCTCTGGGTCCCTGTTCCCAGCTTCCCCCACGACACCTGGACCCTCCCCAGCACAAACAGCAGCACAGCTCCTCTCAAGCTTCAGCTTTTCTGAACCAGCCGACTCTGAAGACCTACCTGGAGAGCCTGGTTCCCCAGGCTGTGGCCCCCGACCCCCCGAGGGAGCAGAGCACGCTGGGTGCCTTCGCCTCCAGCTTCTCCCTGAACAGCTTCCCTGCCCATGGGGGCCTGAGGCAGGCAGAAGCGCTGCTGCAACAAGCAGTGAGGCCCCCGCAGGCCACAGCCAGCCCGGATATACATGGGCTTCTGAGTCCCACCCTGAGTAACGGCCTCGCCGGGCCGGACTCACCCCTCCAGACACGATCCAGAAGGACCGGCGGCGGCCTAGACGGCAGCTCTGTGTCAGTGAAAGGTGAGTCCGCCTCCAGCCCTGAGCTTCGCCAACCGGGAGTGGAAATCTAACCCCGACCTTCCTTGGCCCAGCAGCCTTGTAGCTTTTTGTTCTATTAAATCAGGGGTGGGAGGACTTATGCAGAAAGGGCCATTGTATATGTGCGATTTTGCTGTAACTCTCAAATTAGATTACTGATTAGAGGACTGATTGGCTGAAGAGTCCTCACACCTGGGTTTGAACAGCTGACCTAAAGGTTATCCCAAAAATCCTGCATACACACCGGCGTTTTGGTGGTAAGGTTGGCCACCCCTGTCATAAATAGATATACGTTTTCATTGGAGCCATCTAGGTTAAGCAGTTGGCTTATGAGTCCACATCTGTATCCCCTGTGTCACATGCTGCCCTCATTTTCATACAGAATGGGGGAGATGCCCTCAGCGTTTTCGTCGTGCTAGCAGCTGCCTGCTGACAAGACATCTTACTTTGGTGTTGGATTTTTAGACGTTTCCCTGCTTGAATATGTACCTCCCCTCCTCCAGGCCTGAACTCAAACTTGAATATAAACACTCTGGATCTGGGTTTCAAAGAACCGCAGCAGAGTCGCCTGAAGAAATGGACAGCGTTGGATGCCTCCGTGAACGCACCGCTCGATCAAAACCCCAGCAAATCTGGTGAGTTTTTCCCTGCCCCTCCCTTCCTGCCCTCCACCTCCTCCACCCATGCTGTCTTTCTGTAATTCCTGAATATGCCGGAGATCTGACCTCCATTCCAGTGCCGCCTGAATGAACCTGGTGTCTGTCGCGCACACAGGTGCTCTCTCCTCTGGGCTGAGGGGCGAGGACCCCCCCTTTATCCCATATGACATCAGAAACGGCAGTAGCTCCCCCGTCAGCCCGCCTGGATCCGTGGGGGACGGCTGGCCCTCCCGTGCCAAATCCCCTCATGGTGCCAGCCATGCCAACTGGCCGCCAGGTGGGCACCATTCTCTTCTGCTTTTGTCTTGCATCACGTTGAAAGTCAACTGAAAGACCCTCCCCACTCCCCCCCCACAGAGTTCCGCCCTGGTGAGCCCTGGAAAGGTTATCCAAACATCGACCCCGAAAACGACCCCCACATCACTCCTGGCAGTGTGATTAATAACCTCTCCATCTATACTGTTCGGGACGTGGATCACCTCAGGGACAGGAGCAGTGGTATGCTTGCTTCCTTCTCATTGCCAGTAGCTGTGACATCCTCACTGATTCATAAGTCGTGTAGTTTGGTCCTGCTACTTAAAGGTCGTCCTACTTGATGCCAGATGAGTGAATGACTATCAGCGTCTGGCTTTCAGAGCCTCTGGTTTCACAGGCATGTTCGTTTTTTGTGAGAACCCATACTGCACTGCCGCATCCCGAAGGCGTCTATGAACGTTTTCATCTTTTCCCAGGGCCAACCTCATCTCTGAACACCGCGCTGCCTTCAACTAGTGCCTGGTCATCCATTCGTGCCTCCACTTTCAGCGGTTCCCTCAACAGCACAGCACAAAGCACTTCAGGTCAACAGAGGGCGCCGTCCGACTACCGCGTAGCAGGACGCGACCACCGCCCTGTGCCGTAACCGTGCCCTCTGTCTCTCCGTGACTGCAGCCAGAACGAGTGACTCCAAATGCGCATGGTCACCCGGTTCCGGCTCTAGCTCCAGCTCCTCCCTGGCCCACGAGCTGTGGAAGGTCCCCCTGCTCACCAGGACTGCGCCTTCCCGCCCTCCGCCCGGCCTAACCGGCCAGAAGCAGCCCTCATCCTGGGATGGCAGCTCGCTCCGCCTCGGCGGCTGGGCCAGCTCCGACTCCAGGTTCACCCCCGGTGAGTGGGGCTGTGGATCCAGGGCCGTCGGATCACCGTTCCCCGGTTGCTTGTTTGCTTAGTCCACCCCTGTTTTTGGTCCTCAGGTTCAAGCTGGAGTGAGAGCAGCTCAGCGCGGACAAACTGGCTTATTCTGAAAAATCTCACGCCTCAGGTCAGTCTCCGCCGTCCCGGGTGGCGGTGTGATGTCACGTAGCAGTGCGTCTGACCCATGCTTCCTTGTGGCAGATCGATGGCTCCACGTTGCGGACCCTGTGCATGCAGCACGGCCCCCTGATAACATTCCACCTGAACTTGCCCCACGGTAACGCCGTCGTCTGCTACAGCTCCAAGGAGGAGGCGGCCAAGGCACAAATTTCGCTGCACATGTAAGTTCGTCCCGTCTCCGCTGCCGGCTAAGCTAACCGACCGCGCCACTATTCAGGCGTCCCAAAACAAACTTCATGAGCCCAATGGCCTCCTGCCGTTTGTAAAGTTGCCTTCTCAGGTTCTTGTACCTATTGACCTTTGACCCACATGACCTCTGCCTTGCCCACAGGTGCGTTTTAGGGAACACTACCATTCTTGCTGAGTTTGCTAGTGAAGAGGAGGTCAGCCGTTTCTTTGCACAAGGCCAGTCCATGGCTGCCTCACCCGGCTGGCAGGCCCTGGGTGCCCCTCCCACGCCCCGAGCCGGCCCCATGGACGGTGCCCACGCCTTCCCCGGCCGCTCTGATGCCGGCCACTGGAGCACCACTGGGGACCTCCAGGGCTCCTCCCTCTGGGGGGCTCCGACCTATTCCGCTAGCCTGTGGGGGAACTCCGGGGAAGGTGAGAGCCGGGGGGTGGCTAGCCCCTCCCCCCTCAGCTCCTTCCTCCCCGTTGACCACCTGGCAGGGGGTGGGGACACTATGTGACATAGAACTGTGACCTCGGCGTTAACAACTATTAACCATAACAATAACAACGATGCTAAGATAATAGCGTTACAAATGCGACCAATGGCACTAGTTCAACCCTAACCCATCCCCCTCCCAGCTACAAGATGGTGGGGTCCCCCCGTGGAGAGAGAAAAAGTTACGCTTTTCTACACATCTTTTCCACTTTGTTTTAGCCCAAAACATATCAGTTTCAATACTTGAATCATGCAGGCCAATATTATAATGTGAAAGAATACATTTCCACTTCCAGGTAGTGCTCTTCATGTGTGGAAAAAGGCTTCAGACGAGTTCAGTTAATGTTTGTTTGTTCTTTCGTGTTAATTTGAATTCCATTTTTTTTTTTTTTTGCGTGTTGCGTTTTTTTGCTGATGATGGAGAACGAGCTTTTAACTTTGCACTGAATGTGGGTTTTCTGTATAATCTGCAATATTGAGGGGGCCGTCCGCTCCTGCATAGTCGTTTACTCAAGGATGTTCTTTAAAAAAAAAAAAAAACGTGTACGCTGTACTATGCCTTGACGTACGCCCTACCTTTATTGTGGTATTGTGGAGTTTCACGATCAAAATGCTGACATAGGATTACCTGCTATCGAGGAGTAAGTATTGCACCAGTTTTGTGTTTGAACTAAAGAATTTAGCTCTGCAACGTGAACTGTAGCCACATGACTGGGGGTGGGGGGGATGGCACTATTGGGGCAGGCTTTTCATATTGATTTGGGGGGCCCTTCTTGGGCCCTCTTGTTTACAGACTCCTATGAGAGGGAAAGTGTTTGCTCTTCCTTCGTTTTAAAGTTTAAAAAAAATCAAATAATGCAAAAACTTAAAAAAAAAACAAAAAAAAAACAACAAAATCTATAAAGTAAAAAAAAAAAAAAAGTGAGGATGAAGACAAAGCCTTCTATCTCTGGGAATACTAATCAGTGTTCGGCCATTTGTGTGTGTGTGTCTGTGTGTGTGGGGGGGGGAGATTTCCCCACCTTCCTTACCTTCCTCCTCTTGTGTTAATCTATTCCTCTCGTCTGCTAAATTTATGAGCATGGATCTCAGGAAATGCACAGATTCCCTGCGGAAACTCCTTGTAGGATAATCCAACTTTTAGCACTGACATGATGTATAGCCCTGTAGAGTGTGTGTGCGCGCGTGCATATATACGCGCGTGTGTGTTTGAGTTTTTTTTTTTTTTGCCGCCAAATAATTGCTTTAAGCCGGATCTGTCCCATATACTGTCTTTTTACTGTCTGGCGACGGCTCGGCGAGATCAGCTGCCGCCCCACTTCTCGCCCTTTGTGACTGTCGGACACGGTCCGACAACTATGCATCCTGTAGCCAAGTAGCCGGCGTACAGAATCGCGCTTGTCATGGCACCTCAATGCGCCGTGTGCAGTTCTCACTGTCCTTGTGACGAAGGTGTTCTCCAAAAGTTTTTTTTTTTTTTCTATTTTTTACGTTTTGGGTAACACAGAAGTCTATCGCATTTCATTGCCTTGATTCGAATTGTCAAGTGGCTTTTAACTGTTTACAGATAGAATGATTGTAACGTCTGCAGGTCGGTCCTTACCCATATTGACGCCGCCTCGTGTTTTTCGGCTGCTCCGGTACCTTGTCGGTAAGGCTACTTCGAGATACCTGGCCTGTAGCTGAGAGACGGCAGTAGGCTAACAGTGGTGAATGTAATCTATCGCTCGTAGTATGACTAGACGCATTTTAAATAGTGTACATAGAAGACTCAACAGACGATACTTGCAATATTGGTTTAGTTACTGTGATGCACACATTCAGGTGCTTCACAAAGGAGGAATATGTATTAAGCTGAACCATGGACCTTAAATGTCAGTGCCCCAGTTTTTTCTTTTAATTGCTACATTATTTAAAAACATTCTCATTTTGGTTTTAAGTTGTTACGACCGGCTAGCCGTTTTACAGAACCTTGAGTATTACCCAGACTTTGTAGTTGCATGCCAGTATTGAAACATTAAATGAATCATAATTAATTCTGGGTTCTGCATTACTCTGTCCTGAAGTGGATCGTACTAACCAGGGTGGAAGGGGTGAGACGGACAAAGCCTTGGATTTGCACTTGGTGTTCATGTGGAACGAGCCACATCGTACTGTATTTGTGTGCTCCTGAATAGACGGGCACAGTCGCGGGGAGGTGGCCAGCCTTCCCAGGCTCTGCCGTCTGTCCTTAGTCTGTCCTCCCGGGTCTCTCGCGTAACGTGTTGAGCATTCAGGCCTCATCTGCTTTTACCACTTCGACTCGTGCTCTTCTGTGGGTTGTTTCTTGTTTTGTGTTTGTCCTTGTTCATGACTCCCATTACTACTAAGAAGCAAATGCCCATTTACTCTCTTTAACGAATATGGGGATAACCCCCCCCCCCCCAATCTTGTAGAGTGTCTTGTGCCCAGGGGAGCTCTGTGTGTGTGTGGATATACCTATTCTTTAAGCTTTAGAGTGTGTGTGTGTGTGTGTGTGTGTGTGTGTGTGTGTGTGTGTGTGTGTCCACGGGTCACACCTCGCTCTGATCCTGAGTTGGCTCGGCATCACAGACCCCTGGACTGTCTCCCTTCTCCCAGATTGCTGCTTGTCCATAACGTGCTGGAGTTTGAGGAAAAGCCAGTGGCTCCTGCCTACTTCTTGCCTTCTGGCTTTCTGTAAACTTCATGTTCAGCCCATGTTTACCTATCTAGAGCTTTTGTGTTTTTCTTTCTTTTTTTAAATTGTATAACAGAACCCACAGAGGATATGTGAGAACTTGTTGTCATGCCAAATTGTGGGGTGGGGGGGTCGATTTATACTACTACTCATAAAAGCTGGACAATGTTTGCTCAGTGTCAGCTGAAGATGGCCGTTCGGAGGTAAAACACATGCAATCGCTAACCAATCCTCCGTGCCCCGGAGCCAGGTGGACGGGGTGTATCTGACTTTCAGCTTTTTGTAATCGGAGAATGTCATTGTTTTTGTTTTTTTTATATATATAATATATATATATTTGTGAGAAGTACACCCTTGTCTTTTTCAACAGTCCCTAATCTTTTACAATGTGCTAAGCAATCGACTTTACATACTGTGATCATTGCTGTCTTATTCTGAACCCCAAAAAAAGCTTTAGCAAAACCAGCATAAAGAAATACACAAATGTTGCTTTGTAGAGTCAGCCTCCGTAACGAGGGACGTTCTAAGTCTATGCAGTGTGAAGTTAAAGGCCTCTCTGCCCAGTCTGTTTGCTCTATGTGCTCAGACCTTCAGTACAAACTGGAGCTATGAGTCAGGCATCATTGAATATTGTGCCATTATTGATCTGCGTGTGGTGAAAATATTGGCCAGTTGTAGCATAAGGAGCATTTTTAATTTATCTATCCCCCCTCCCCCCCCCCAAGTCAAGCGGGTTGTGGAAATCCAAATTTTTATATATAAAGATGCAGTATATCAAATTACGTTTGCTTACTCACTGGTCTTATGCACACTGCTTTAATAGACTGTTTAATAAATGTATAGAACCAATGTATTTTACAGACTTAATTTAACAGGAAGTACCTTTTACGCTGGTGTGTCTTCCTGGGGTGGGGTGGTATCTGAGAATTTTATCCTGGGGGAACTGCACTTTTTGAAGGACAATCCTTATTTGTAAAGGCATAAATTGACTAAAGAGTGTCTCATGCAAGGTAGAAACTCAGCTGTGTGATGAATGTTTCCACTTATACTGTCTTACCCCCCCCCCGGCCCTTTTTGTTGCTTGTTTCGTTTTTAGTGCCCTTTAATGAACATGTAAGACAATTTAGCTTAGATGTCCAGTCTTTGACTATGCTATTAGACTGAACTGTTTGTAGAGGTCAATGCTGATCTGTGTCCAAATATCAAGCTGTAGAAATTTGGTGCAAACCCACAATAAAACCAATAAGGGAACATTTTCCCTTTCGTTTGTTCTTTCTTGCCAAAGTTAAGTGATCGTGACACAAATTCCAGCACAGCTCACTCTGGTAAAGGTATGTTAGGGACTACAGCTCTAATAGCCCATGGCCTTTTCCATGCAAGCAGCACTGGCACAGAAAATGGTAAATTAAGATTGTATAGATGCCTAAAACTGCAGTTTCCCTGCCTCATGTCCACACTGTACATTAATTACTGGTTGTGTTTGAATGCACCATTTGTGACTGCTGCAAAAATTGAGTAATCTAGCGCAGATTGTTCTGGTTCATGTACAGTAACTGGATTTCACAATTCTATACTCTACTGGCAAAAAGAGTGCTGATACACAATACAGCCACTAGCCTTTGATCTTACCTACTTTATTGAAAAATCCTCTAGTGTAGAGCTGATTACTTCCCATCAGGAGAGGGAAGGCAGTAAAAACCAGGGAAAAAAAGCATATCGAACCAGTTTAATTCTCCAACCAAACAATACCTTGGACATTTCTTACAATTAAATACAGTGTGTACAAGAGATGAGGCATTTCACACTAGCCATCAGCACAAAGGAAGAGACAGGGCATCGTTTAAATGCAAGGAGAAACAAAATCCTTGTCTTCATGAAATCTTGGGACATATGAGGGGCTGGGTTTACCTGTGGGAAGGTGGGGCAAGATCATTAAAAAAAAAATCTGCGACAGCCAACTCTACATATTTCTGGGTTAGTTTATTCATCTTTAGATTCCCATGCTTCCTGGGACACCCAGTGCTGGACAGGTCAAGATGGCCCTTCGAGCTACGCTTACTCGTAAACATCCTTCTTGTTGGCTATGTACTGTACGATCTCTTCCGGAGTCATCAGCTTTTCTGCTTCTGCATCGGGGATCTCAAACCCTGCACATCACACACACAAAGGACAAATGTCGGTGTTAAGTCACAGCACTGTGCTCTATTGGTTCACTGGCAAACTCCTTGCATAAAGGAAGAAAGGATGCCTGAGCCAGTTTGCTCTAACAAAACTACCCACTGCAGTCAGTCCTGAAGACTATCTTAAACACACTTAACTAAAAGACAAGAAACAAACGCAGGCATCATCCAACCGAAAAAAAGATGTGATAACGTCATGCTCACCAAACTCATCTTCCATGGCCATGATGATTTCCACCTGGTCCAAGCTGTCCAAGCCCAGATCTTTCATGAAGTGAGAAGACACCTGAAGCTGAGCACATGCCGCACCCGTGGCTGAGATGAGCATTTCACACTGCAAATCCAACATCTCCAGGAATAACTAGTACAATGAAGACCGGGTCCCTTACTTTCTCTGGACTGATCTTGTCGTAGAGCTTCAGCACGTACATAACTCGGTCCTTAATGTTTTCGAGGGTGAGGGGCGGCAGGTCCCCGTACTGTCGGCATTGTTGCACCAGAGACCCCGAGATCTGCAAAGAAGTGAGCGTGCAAGCAAACTTACAACATGCGACGCTACCGACATGAGCCTGGATGCAAGACCCTCGCTTTTTCAAAGGCAATTTGGAAGACTAAAGAGCTACTACACTGCTGTTAATATAAACACATTTTCCCGTACGATTATCTTTGACGCCCAATTAAAGGAGCACCATGCAAGTACTTTGCACGCCAGCTAAGCTCCATGCCTGAGGTACCTGATTTTATTCGCCAGTACAAGAGCAGAGGTCACACTGCAAACCATTTTTTTTTTGGAAAGACACAGGTAGGTCACCGAACGAACTGCACTGCTAGGCCACAGCCACGGCGGATTTTCGCTGTCATTCCGGACTTACCCACGCCTGGTCGCTTCGCCGTTCGGGCCGACTGCAGGAGAGAGCGGACAGCGGCCTCCGCGCCAACCGGAGCGCAGCAGCGGCATCCTGCGGACACCGCGCCACCAAGGGCCGGCTAAGGGCGAGGACGCGAGCACATCGGAATAGGACACGGGACGCCATAACTGTGACACCAGCGGGCAATCCCAGCATGCACCGCAAAGACGTACTTGAACACGGGGGCGGAGTCCAGGTAATTTGGAGTGCGCATGTCTTGAATGACGTCACCCAGTTATTTTCCGCATGGATAGGGTTGCCGGTAGATGCCTTGAGGAAAAGGTACAACCCCTTGCAAAAATTATGCAATCACCGCACTTAGAAGATGTTCACCCAGCTTTTTCACTTTGTAGCAAATAAATCACAGATATAACAGAAAACGATTTTTGTGTAATTGTTTAACTTTCTACCTTCATGAACGGCACCTTAAACAAATTGAATTATTTTAATTAATGGAACAATTTTGTCCAGATCAAGTAGAGGAAAAAAATGATGTAATCATTCAATGTGGAATCATAAACTAAAAAATTAACAATCAGTACGTTGTTGCTCCTCATCAGGCCTACATAGCAGCGTGAATTCTTTGAGACATTAAATAAGTAATTCTATTTAGTTTGTTAGAGATACATTTCACGTAGCCAGAATGTTAAGCTACTGTATCAAACAAAAAGTGTTTCATGTTATATCTGTAATTATTTTATTTGTTACGAAGTAAAAAAAGCATCCTCTAAGTGTAATGATTCCATCATTTTTGCCAGGGGTTGTATATATTTGAAAAAAAAACTTACGGTAAGCTTTATTTTCACATTGCAGTTATTTATGATAATTTCAATGCTTTTAAAACAAACTTGACATATAATTTATATATTTTGATTGCAATAGAACAGTTTAACAATATTACAAATTCCTCATCAATTGGTTTATTTTTCCTGGTTTAGTTCATTGAGCAAATAAAAGATAAATATAAAATATAGATTATATCAATGAAAAACGACAGTTCATTGAAATATTATTTGGGCACACAAGTTCATAAAATGTTTATCCATCAATGTCAAGGTCTAACTTTTTTTTTACCTTCAGCGAAAGGTCAATTCCGGTTGTGTTCATCAGTATCGAAATTTAATTGAAACCAACAGCAGAAATATTTTACTTTGTAAAGTAGGTTGCACTGTAAAAATGGTTGGGAGACCGCTGCTGTGGTAAAGAAAGACGTTTTATTGAGCTGCTAGGCGAAGGCGGCTTGTGTATTTCTGTAGTTATCAGCAGGGGGCAGCATTTGACTTTGCTCGATGTACAAACCTCATCAGTATGCAGCTTCCGTCAGTTAAATACATACCATCATACATACATTTAAATACATAGTCTATCATTCCACAATAGTTTACAAAAACCTAAAAAATCAACTTAATTTGTAAAAAGAGCACATTTGACCTGTAAATTCAACTCGTGAATTGAATTAATTGACTTAGACAACCTTTTTTTAAGAGTATTCTTTCAGAAGCCTCTAGAACAGACCTAAGTCTGTTCCCAGTACGGCCCTGTCTGTGTGTGTATGTGTGTGTGTGTGTGTGTGTGTGTGTGTGAGAGAGAGAGAGAGACAGAGAGAGAGAGAGAGAGAAAGAGAGAGGGGGGGGGTGGCATGGTGGTCCAGTGGTTAGCATTGTTGGATTCGAGTCTCAACCTAGGTTACATGTGTGGAGTTTGCATGTTCTCGTGGGGTTTCCTCCGGCTACTCCAGTTCCCCCCCCTCAGTCCAAAGACATGCTGAGGCTAATTGGAGTTATTAAATTGCCCATAGATTTGTGAGTGTGCCCTACGATGGGCTGGCACCCCATCCTGAGTTGTTCCCTGCCTCGTGCCCATAGCATCCGGGATAGGCTCCGGACCCCCAGCGACCCAGAAGGATAATTGGTTTGGAAAATGGATGGTGTGTGGTTTGGGGGGTCTACTTTAAGCTACAGCAATGGAGGACAGTGATTGAAGGAAACACTGTTTCAGCAATGTTACGTTCGTATTGCTCCCCCTACTGGCAGTGATGAGTCACGCCATGCTTAACGTGTGTTAATAGTTACTCAGCGCCATTTGCCTTAATGCCAGTCTTTGTGTCTCAGAACGCTGAAAAATACATACTGGATACCTAAAATACACAGTCACCTTGATTAAAAAATGCCCTTCTTCCATTTTATCACTTTAACCTATGTAAACATCTACATGGAGGAATAGCCTCTGAGGGGTTAATTCTAAAATAATGCAGCTTCCAAAATAATAATGCAGCTTTAAAATAATGCAGCTAACAGACACAGGAACCGATAGTGGGCCGGCGGGATGGGGTGATCTCGCCCCAAACAGTTGGGAGAAATCAGGAACTGACAGTGTGCGAGCAGGTCAGGGTGACCTCGTCCCAGACAGCTGGAAAACAGGAACACATCATATAAGCGATACTTATTTTAACTTTTGCTTAACATAAAGGGGGGGGGACATGTACTCACTGACTAACTAGAGCAAATGTCAAAATATGTGGTAGTCAGGTAGATGGAAAAGTACAGAGAAGGGGGGGGGACACACCCCGGAGGGACTATAAAGAGACAGAGCCGACAACTATGGTTCGAGCTTCTTGCTGTACATGCTGAATGTATGTCAGATAGTCGCTGCCTGATTATAATCTGTCAGAGAATAAACTGGTGACTTGCAACTATGCTATGAATCCCGGACCAGGCGGAGTGTGACTCCAACACCTCATTCTAATTGGCTGGTGACGTTTGCTTAGGACTCACACCCACAATCAAGTCCGTACACGCGCTTTCCCGAGTCGATTATTTCTGCCGAGGACACCGGGACCTCTGGGGGTTATATTAAGAACTACACAGGTCGTTTTTTATGATTTGTACTTAATATCATTTTAATATCATTTCGTCCTCTTGTGCTGCCTGACACATTTCTGCCTCTAAGAGGAAGCATTGCCAAGGCATGCCAACGTAACGCCCATTTTCAAAAAAGGGGATAGAAGTAATTTGTCAAACTATAGGCCAATCAGTCTAACTTGTATAACTGGTAAAGTTATGGAGGCTATAATCAAAGAGAAAATGGTAGATTACCTGGACTCAAATAACATTTTGAGGGATAGCCAGCATGGATTTAGGAGAGGTAGATCCTGTTTAACAAATG